TAGTTTTCCATCCATTAGATGAAGTGAATTCAACCACAGTTCATGAACTGTTTGCAAATTACATAATATTAATAAGAGGTGTTGCATGAATCAAATGTAAAATCACAAAACAGACATTCAAATAAAATACAAAACTTACAAAGCCAATAAATTGATTAAAAAAAAATGAAACTTAAAAAGGATAAAGAGCTTCCGTCTGCATTAGCCTGTGTAAGACAGAGAAACACTCATATAACTTGTTTCCCAAATCTCTGCACCCATGCACCTTAATGTTAACACAATGCACTCTCTATATATTGATTTTTATTTATTATTCCTTAATAATTGTTTATTCTTTATAGTTTGTGAATTGTTGTCCTATATTTTGTGTTGAGTGTGTTGTGTACCTAATGCATAGCTTCTGTCAAACTGAATATTCCCAGTTTGGGATCAATAAAGTACATTAAAAAAATGTCACCATATCTATCTAAACACACACATCCATCTGGTCTGCAGGAATCTATATACTGTATCATTCTGTTGTATTGTTTTTCTTATTTTTTTCATTCAAACTCTTGTATGTAATAGAGATTCTCCCCTTGTCGTCTGTGTGACTCATATCAGAATATTACAATATATGTCAAATCTTCAAAATGGGGGGTTGATGGTCGATGCCATATATGCACTACCTCTGTCGGCCTGCAGAGGTCGACATCGCCCCGTCTCTCCCCCCTTCATTTCCATGTAGAAAAATGGCGGAGCGGAGCTGCGGAGGCTGCATCGGCTGAGCTGCTTCACACACCACTCGCGGGCACTCAGTCGTCGCGGACGGGGGAGGGGGGGGCCATCGTGTCGGGAGGGCACTGCTGCAGGAGCGGGGCGAGGTTGATCTCCGAACCGGCGGAGGTTTTCATTTATTGTTTTGCCTCGAAGCGGAGCGAGGAGCCACGAAAACAAGTCATGAACGGGGTAAGTTTGCTCGTCAGGGCATCACCGTCGTGACAGGCGTCGGTGAAGTCGCTCGAGCCGGAGAATAAGTTTCTTTATCCGGAGTGAGAGCGACGTGTTCAGCGGCAGGGACACGGCACAGAAACGGGAGTTCCTCCAGTCACAGCTCGGACTGTAAGTTAGTGTTGTTACCGACGAGCCTCATTGTTGGGCAGTGCCTTGCTAACGTTAGCCTGTGGTGACTGTAACATGTGCAGCCGGAGGACATCCTGAAAACGGAGTATTCTCAGAGTACATGGCTCAAACAAACACACTGGTCGGTCTCTGCAGGAGGGGCTGACGCTTCCAGGCATGTGTTCATGTGTGGTTTCATTCGGCCGGTAGAGGCAGAGCCAACAGGCCTGTCTGTCTGTGCCCTGACTGGATTTAAAGGTCCAGTGTGTAAGATTTAGGTGAAGGGGATCTATTGGCAGAATCTGAATAAAAAAATCCTCCTAGTGATGTTTTCACTTGTGTGTTTCCTCTAACTTGTACAAGTTGTTTTTTTCTTTTTTCCCCAGAATGAGCCTTTTATATTTAAATACTTTATATTTACACCAGGAGCAGGTCCTCTCTATGGAGGCCGCCATGTTTTTTTTACAGTAGCCCAGACTGGACAAACTAAACATCTTTTGAGTTTTTATGACAACTGAAGGTTTCCACAGGTTCTCTGTCATGTTTGGAAGGAGAGGGTGAGGTGAGGGGCGTTCAGATGATACGTGACACTTCACCACTAGGTGTCACTGAATTTTACACACTCAAAAATCTAAAGTGACTGATGGGAGAGTGGGTGTGGAATCTTTATATACAGTCTATGGTGTGGAGCCAGCATGGTCCCCTCCTCAGAGCCCCTCCCACACCACGGGTGGAGAATACTGTAGTAATGTGCATACTACAGTTAAATTTCTGAATTATACATGCAGCGCCTCTTATAATACACACTATTCATTCACTGTTGCACAGCCGTCAGTGTCTTGCCCAAGGACACTTTGTGAATGCAATCTGAAGGAAGCAGACTTTGAACCAGCGACTGTCTAGTTAGCGAACGATCAATCACACTCTGATCCCTTTTACTGTATTAAACCACAATCAGTGACCCTGTCAACACATCTGCATATGCAGAATATAACAGAATTGGTGGCTCTTCTTGCTGCTCACTGATTCCACAACATGTGGGAACCTTTCCTCTGAGATTCTGCTCCATGTTGCCATGACTGCATCAGTTTCTGCAGATTTGTCTGCTTCACATTCATGCTGCCAATCTCATGTTCTACCACATCCCAAAGGTTTCTACTGGATTTACATCTGGTGACTTTTTTTGTCTTTGGTTTGCTTTAGGTACAGTATGGACAAGTTCAAACAGTTCAGGACCTCAGTACGCCTGTTAGTTAACATGTCTTCATCTGTGACCTTTTGTCCTAAATGTAGCAGTTTGGTTTCACTTGGTCAAAGTATTTTGCCCCTCCCTCCATTATTTGATTTTTGTTCTTTGAAATATGATTAATTAGCTTTTTAAACATGAATTAGATTTTTTAAAATACATTAACTGCTACATGTGCGATATTACCATTGGATGTCAATGCATCTGACTCTCAAAGAATTGCTTTAGCTTTAGCCCTCAAATCACACTTTGAGTGTAGACGATATGGAGACAGTGTCCCTCAGTCTAGAGGCAGCTGGTGGTGGAGTAAAGCTAGTAGGTTGTTTTTAAAAAGTAACATTGAAACAGCCTTGAGGTCTTAGGTATGATGAAGTGGAGGCTTATACAATAGTGGTTCTGAAAGACATAAAGTGCATTTCTTATTTAAAAAATGACCAACAACCAGTGAGTATTGGTCAGAAATGGTGACAGCAAACCTGTGAATGTTGGGGCTTTTTCAATCTTCTCTTCTCACTCTCAGCAAGAAAGTTATAAAAGTTATGCTGAGGGCATATCCAAGTTGTACAAATGTTTGTGCATGTGGATTTTAAGTGTGTCTTTCATCTCTATGTATTCACAGGATATTGTTTGCAACTCACTTACTGTCTTAAACCACACCAAGTCAACATCACCAGGTCAGGATGAAAAGAGGATCAAGCTGACACAGGAAGGGAGGTGCCCTCCAATAATCACACAGCAAAATGAAGCTCCGTGGCAGGGAGAGGGTAAGTGTCTTTGCTGCAGCTCTAACAGCCCAATCTCCAGCTGAGGAGAGAGACTTTACTGTGAAATCACGCCACAGGAGAGCAAACAGGTCATACTTTATTTTTATATTCCAACAGATTATGTAAGAATAGGGAGTAAGAAAAACTAGAAACACATGAAGGACAAACATCTTGTTCTAATCAACTCTTTCCTCATTCTTCCCAGACCGGAGAGCAAATACCATCACTACACCAAAAGACTCAAAGAGCCAGTGTTCACCCTGCTGGACAGATGAACAACCGTCACCTCCGCAGCTCTACTGCCCTCAGGCCTGCCTTCGTTCCTCCACCGAGCCCTCCCTGCCTCTCAGTAACAGCCTATGTCACACTCTCCTCCTCACTGGCAACAACAGCGCACTCCACGGTCGCAAGAGGAGAGATGTCCGCCCCAAGGTCGGGGGAAAGAAACCACCTCGTCGAATGTACGTAGGTCCTAGTACTGATGCTGGTTATATCCTGCCGCCATGGCACGATATTTTGAACATGATAACTTAAAAAAAGCTGGATTGTAGAAAGCTCATATTTCCAATATAGGTACACCATATGGAGTAGATGAGCTGAGTAGATTTTGGTGACTTTCCACATACATTTGCGTCACTTAAGGAGACATAGTCTGCTCATATTCGGGTGCTTGACAATTTTCGGGTTATTACTTAAAAAGCGTTGCATTTTTACAAAGGGAAAACAGATTTGTTGAAACTTCTTTACAAAACTACTTGATCCACACTTGGTCTTTAGTCACGAGGGTGATGGTGGGACATAAAGTGACCTATTTGTTAAATGAATACTGGAGTGCTGCTGAGGATTTCACATCACTTTATGGTGTGATAGCTGTTGACCCATTTGCTGTCATGTTCCTTTTTCTACTACAGTGCAGCTGGAAAAAACTCCCAAAACCGAAAAGTAACTGATTACTACCCTATAAGACGAAGCTCGAGAAAAAGTATAATGGTTTTAAAGGTAAGATTCGATTATTATTTTTTATACAGTACCACAACATTTTGCATGAAGTGGAATAGACAGTAGGAACAGATATTGGTGTATTGGCTCTAACCTAAGTTCAGATAATTTCTTCTTCTCCTTAACCAATGATTGGATGCTCATGTTGAAAATGGCCGGCTGCGTGACAGAATCTATCATATATCTGATCATATGTCATTACCATGAAGGGAAAACGATTCCTATAATAGACCAGTTAATAATAGACCAGTTAATGTCAAAGTATTTTTTTCCCCTTACCTTAATCTGAAGCCACAATCATTTTGCTCTTTTGAAGTCTAACCCATCCTTACCTCAACTGGTAGCTTTAACTAAGGCTCCCTCAGAGCTTGAGTGTGACTCAGGTAGCAACATCTGTCCAAACCTGACCGAGCCCAAGAGAAAATGAACCTCTGACCCCCCAAACCTGACAGGCATTCTGAGCACCGTGGTTTATCTGCGTAAAAAGTAGATAGCCCAGCCCTGTGTGTGTGTGTGTGTGTGTGTGTGTGTGTGTCTTAGCATGTAGCTGTTTTTCAGTAATGCCATCTCCATGTTCATTTTGCCAGTGTGAACAGAAGCAGCTCATAGACGATCGCATCACAAAAGGAATAGAGGAAGGAATGGAGGTACACTGACTTTTCTGCTTCCATCGCAAACAGCAGCTGGTGTTTCTCAAACATTGACCACTGAGCTTGATGATGCAGGTTGAAATGAGTCTGACTGTCTCTCGACAGAATAACATGTTCTGGTCCTGTATGACACCTAAGTCACGCCATGTCTCAGCATAAATGTATCTCAGGTTAGCATGTAATGATACAGGTACAATGCCATTGATGCTTAAACCTACAATGGTACGACACAATTGCAGGCAGAGCAGAGAAGTGACCTTAAGAGGACACATGCTGGACGTGAAACTGGAAGAATACAGATATCTTTTCATTCAACTCTATCGTTGAGTTTGCGGATACGTCCAAATGTTTGTAGTAAACATTACAGCTGAGTCGGCAGCTTTTTCTCCCATGCAAAAGGCAAACTCTGGAAAATGTCAGCGTCATGAAAACAGCATCAGTCTGATCACATTAGCTTTAATCCTGATTTCTATAGTTAGGCTCAGTCAATCCAGGCTTCTATAATAATCCATGTTTTTCATGATAAATGAATCCAAGAGAAGCTTTGTAGTTTAGCAGGATTCTAAGTGTGCCACAACAGAGGCAGCTGTGTGTCTGTCCTTACAGAAAAACCTCTCCCACTTCTTTAAAGGTGCAACATATAGAAGGAAAGGGGAGGGCGGTGTTTGCCACTCGTTGTTTCCAGAAAGGCGAGTACGTGGTAGAGTACCACGGAGACCTGCTGCAGATCACAGATGCCAAGAAGAGGGAGGCCGAATACGCTCAAAACCCTGCCACTGGCTGCTACATGTACTACTTCCAGTACCTCTGCAAAACATACTGGTATGCAAACTAAAGCATTACTACCTTTACTGTTTACAGTTAAATATTTTGATCCGAAATGATCACCTGGCTTCTAACGGTAAATGTTCTATGTTCGTCCGACAGTTACAAAACCTCTCGTATGAAAGCAGTTTTATCACAGGAAAATAGTATTTGTTTAGTTCATACTTAATTAAAAATACACCTTTTGAATATTGTGGCTGATGTTTGTCTGACGGAAAAAAACATCCACTGAAGGTTTTGATAAAATAACCTGACAGTTTTTTTTAAAGCTATTTTATTGAAGTGATCTTACACCTGGGCCATGCTCCCTGTCTGTGCAGCATGTGATGGCTGCATCACTGATCTGTGTCTGCCTCTGGTATGACCACTGTATTTCCTCAAATAAAAGTAGCCTATATACTCAACCAAATGCCAGGACTCCACAGCATGTAGCCATGTATCCTCCAGTCCTGCAGTAACAATAAAAACCCTGTTAAAACAAATGAATGGATTCAGTCAGCAGAAGCATGTGTCTCACACAGGCAGTGTAGCCGCTGTAACCTGATAAAATGTGTCCTGAAATGAAAACCAAGACATGCTGTGATGCACACGTGCCACTGATGCATCCAGTGTGGCCTTAACAAGTAAAATACCTTACAACTTTGATACGACAAGTAAACCAAGGTTTCTGCCTGTTTAAGCTTCTTATCTAACTTTTAAAAACATTTTTGTCAAAAGAGTAAATTTGACACATTTCTGTCTTTTACAAACCGAGGCTAACGCCGTGTTGGTTTTGTCTCGACAGTGTGGATGCCACAAAAGAGTCTGGTCGAATGGGTAGATTGATAAATCACAGCAAAAATGGAAACTGCCAAACCAAACTCCACGACATCAACGGTGTCCCTCACCTCATCCTCGTCGCCTCTCGAGACATCGACGAAGGCGAGGAGCTGCTCTATGACTACGGAGACCGCAGTAAAGCCTCTATCGCAGCTCACCCATGGCTCAAGTACTGATTGAGGGGACTTCCAAAAAAAAGGGAAACATACAGTAACACTTGTGTTTCTCATTTGCTAGTGTACAAAATGCCTTAGAAACAGAATGTGTACCCTTTTTGTTCCAAGATTAAGGAAGCTGGCTGGGTTTAGTAGCTGTTAATGGGGCTGGAGGGGTGATCGGGTACTTATCATGTTTCGACTGGTCCCTCTGCCTTGTCAGATGACGTGTACTTTTATTTATATGTGTATATGAGGCATTCTAGTTGTTTTGCAGCACATTTATTTTGTACATTTTTGTATTTCCTATAGACCAATGCTTCTACAGCATGCAGGTGGTAGTTGATGCTCTGCATTTTTATACTGCTTTTTCTTAATTAGTGGTTAGATACTTAGCAATACTTCTATTTATGGCCCCAGAACTCTTTTGAATCAGCGAGAATTATGGGATGCAAATGACAAAGCCTTTTTTAACGACATATTCTGTGGAATTTAATTTCAGCCATTAAAAATCACACAACCTTCCATTGTTTAGAGGGAGTGTAATAGTTCACCACACCCATGGGTCAGGAGTCCAAAAAACAATTTGACACTTGATTCAAGTATTATACTTTTAAAGTGCAAAATGACGGTGTTCAACAATCAGACTTTCCTGTCTCCATGCCCTTTTTTATTCTTTAGCACATATAATCTTTTAATATTTTAGGTGTGTATTTGAATTAAATGTTCAAATAATGCGGGTGACTGCAGACAGTTTTATATTTGTTTCTTTAAAGGTAAATATATGAAGGTTTATCAATGAATGAATGATTATTAATAATATAATTTCACTTGCATAGGAATTCTTTACCTGGTGACATTCTCTATAATACTGCGCCGTGTAAATATATTTAACTGCTTGCTGTTGCAAAGTCAGGGGTGGTAATCTTTTTTCTTTTGACCTAAAATTCACTTTCTGACTGTGATGCTGGAGTGTAGCTTGTCACAATGACTTGTTATGTTCTGACGCTGAATTAATTTAGACGAAGGAAACGAGGAACAACGAAGCTTTCAGACATATTTGATGTTTACAGAACCACTGACCAACAAAATACATCAGTGATCTCTGATGCAATCTAATACAACAGCTCATCCATAATTCCTTCCTTTACAAAGGTAATGAGTCTTTGTGTTAACGTAGCTGTATGTTTACTATTGAGGTTGTAGTTTGCAGTCTTGAGACTCCATTATATTGAGAAAGGGTTCCCCTCATTTACAAACAAGAGGGTGGAAGAAAATTAAAATACATTGCAGTCCAGTTAAACACCACTGCAAACTACAACCTTTAAAATAAATAAATAGTTGAATTACCACCTTTCAGACGGTGTCAGATATGAACCTATTATCTAAATGTAGAATTTATGGCCGATAGTTTTATCCAGCTCTAAATAAAAAAAACTAATGGTATATGTTGGAGGTGCACCTGCATGTTATTGTTATGAGCACAGGAGCTGCAGATTCTTTGGAATTTAGTTGAACTTTTTGTGTCGAGGGAAACTCGGCCCATAAATAAAAGCATCAAATCTGACATCTCAGACTGCTTCCAGCCTTTCTGCTAAGCTAAGCTAACTGTAGCTTCATATTAAGCAAGAGTGCTATCAGTGTTTTAATTTAACTCTCTGCAAGAAAGCAAAGAAGCATGTTTCCCCAAATGTCGAATTATTTATTTAAAAGTAAACAGGCTAAAGTATCTGCAGGGAAAACACATGGAAGCAGTTTTCAAAAGGAAAAGCTTGAATACGTGACATGAATTTCATGCACGCTCAACATGCGGACATGGGTCTGATGGACTGGTGCACTCCCTCTATAGAACATAGAATTTCCCATTCACAAAGCTGTCATCTTCTTCACAACCTGATATTCAGTGTGAAAATAATTTTTTAATTTTATATCTCAACTGCCAACAGGTCCTTTTTGTTTTACTTGATGTTTTCTTACTTTTCAAATACCAGAAGGTCCACGAGGTCTGTCACACACAATCACTCACTTTAAATGTTTTATCCTGTTTATCATTTCAATTAACCAGAAAACCACTTGACTTTTTTTTGGACTACCGTGGCTTGAAGACCATTGAAACAATAGATCATCTATCATTATATCAGAAAATGATTGTTGTTGATCAACTAACCAACTAATCGCTTTCACCCTAATAATTCAGAGTCAGTATTTTACCCACTTCTTTGGTCATATATAATGTTACCACAGAAAAATGGCCACATGTTGATACTTACTGCGCAACTCATAGGAAATGAAGCAGCAGAATCCAGAATCCTCTATTATAGAATCCTCTATTATAGTCTCATAGGAGACGGGGATCTGCTTTAAAGGGTAAGATGGCTGAGATTGTACATTTTCTGATACTGTCAGGAAATCAAAGGAAAAAGACTCAAACAAACAATGTGTTACTTCATTTGTCAAAACTCTGAAATTCACCAAAAAACGGTTGAAATGGATGAAATTGTGCATTTGTCGGGGACTATTTTCAACACCGCATTATTCCACATTTGGTGCTGTAGTGAGTTCATGTGGCAGCAGGGCAGGGTGTGTGGGACTGAGGCTAAATAAAACCGCAGTGTGTGTGTGTGTGTGTGTTCATGATGGAGGAACATGACAGCCAGTGCATCAGTGTGACTCACTGGGGTGTTTTTAATGGTCTTTACGACAGACAGTGAAGGAATCAATTAATCGCTGGTTGTGGTCTTTTCATGGGAGTTACTGAAAGTCAGAAAAAAAAAAAGTGAATATCACCAGACTTCATTCAATATTTGTTTGACAAGTCATTATTTGAATTTATTGGTTCAGCACAAGTACAATGAATTTAAATGACATTGTGCTGGCATTTATATATATATTCTTCTGTCTCCCAGCGAAATATCTCACCAGACTTGCATCTTCACTTCTTCTAGCAGGGTAACACATGAATTCATTCACTTGTATTTTCTTTGGTGTTATGTAAATTGGAATAGTTTAATTATTTCGTGGGATCCGAGGGCTCTGTCTTAATAGGAATAGTTTCACGGTTTGGGAAGCTCACTTATTTGCATTTTTGCCAGAGAGTAGTTGAGAATATTATTTAATTTCACTATTTATTACTTTTGTTGCAGCTATGTTAAGCTAAAGGCGGGACTCGACCAAATGATATCCATCCTCTTTTCATACATCCCTTAATCATGAGAGGACAACTGCAGTTCTTCATTTTCAAATATTCAGTATATTATTGAATTCCAGGATTCTTTTGATTTCATGTTTCAATATCATTCAAGCACTAGAAGTATCATCAGTGTTAAAACAAATAGCCCATGTGAGATAGAGAGGTTCAGGAAAAACACTGTGTGTAGAACATAAAGATCCATTTCCTTCTTCCCGTACACTTCCCCTGTCACCTCTAACAGTAGCATTGTGTTGAAAGTGTGAAATGTTTTCATATGAGCCTTTCTTAAACAAATATCTTCTGGGTTGTTTCATGTTTTTTTTTATGTAGAACTAATGCAATAATACCTGAGGGAAAGAACTGAACTGTTGGCCATTTTAGGACATAATAAATCTTTGCTGTTGTAGCGTTGAATAAATCTTAATGCTGGGGTTTAGGCATCGATGAATAAAGATGTATTATGCAAGTAACAAGAGTGGACATCTGATTTGTTCTTGAATTCAAATGAATTGAATAAACGTATTTAATGAGTGGAAAATGAGCAAGAAACGTTTAAAGGTCAAAGTTTAAATCAGCATCATTTGTTTGTGTTGTTCTGGTACAAAAAGAAAAGTTAGAGGGAGAAAAGCTAAATTGTCTCATTGTAATAGCTAACTGTGACAGCAGAGCAGTTGATTAAACAGGTCAGGAGCTTGTTCACGTCAAATCATGTCAGTGACTTTGATAGTGAATGTTATCTGAGTATTGTTGTTGACCATGTTCATCCCTATGGTCACAGTTTAGCATCTTTTAATAAAAACTTCCTGCACAAAGTAAAAGTCTCGACAAAGATGATGCGATGGAGTGATGTCAAAATGGAGCTGAATCTCAGAGGAAAGCTTCCCACAGCTCGTTGGATCTGTCACATAAGAACTGGGGCTGCTGTGAGAGAAAAGGGAGGAACTACCCAGTATTAGTATGGTGTCTGTAATAAAGTTCCTGGAAGGTAAAAATAACAGCTGACGGGTGATCTCTACCTGTGTTGATCTGGTTTTACCTTTTGGTTTCTTTCCTTCCAAGACAACACGTCACTGCAGGTGCTTCCTTCACTTTGACTGAGATCCCAGGAAAAAGAGAAAACAGCTACTGTGTTGGATGAGAAATCTTCAGGGTCGTAGGCTTGTGTGGTTCAATAATGAAAAGTAAAACTCGTTATCAGTGCCATTTCTGTAGAACTGAATTATTATATCATAAATTAACTAATTTCACTTCTAAAATCAAGAAAATCTGTAATTTGCCCAAATCAATAAATACAAGTATGATGTTCAAACACAGAGGAAGTTAGGTTTTTGTTCAAATTATATTGTTAAGGACGTGAAAATGATATGAGGATAATATCCTCCAAGTCTATGTTCAGTGATCACAGTGATGATGAGAAGGGAGCAGCCATTGAATCATGGAACATATGACTTTATGTCCCACATTTCATCTATCTTATTATGAGTTCAGGCAACTAACAAATAAAAAAAACAGGCAAACACTTCATTACAGACATGTATGAATAAAAGCCAGTTTATTTAATAAAGCGCATCCATTAATTATATCTTTATATCTTTAGATATTCATTTGAATTGGGTTCATAGAAGAACCCGAAGCTGAAGAACCAGGGTCAGCAGTTCGGAAAATGTTGAAATGTATTTCCCTTTAAGTGTCTCATTAATTCAATTCTTCGGATCCCTTTGACTTCCAGATACAGTCTAAACATAATACTCCTGCATCAAGTCTCGTTAATTCACTGTATTTGTGAAAATGTAAAATAAGTTAACACTCATTGACACACTCATTTTGCAGCCTCATCATGGCATTCTCTTTGTTTTACACTCATTTATTCCACCTCGCTGGGTGAACATAGATGAAGATTAAGTGCCACTTGTATTAAAACACAGCCGATCACACCACAGTTATCCACAGAAGCATCAAACCTCGATTACCATTTAAAAAATAATGCGAATCCGACTTTGCACTCCAGCTGTATTATCTTTGTTTTTGAGTTTTTCTGTTGCTCTTTACTTCTCAAAAATCTCCTTCAAATAAATAAGTGAAGAGGTAAAGAGGTTAAGTCTCATAAGACAGTCCTGCTTATGTAAAATGTAGTTATACTGTGTCCTGGAGTGATTAAACACTATGACGCATCTGCACAGATCCGTCTCGTGTCAAGTGTCAGTAAGCTGCTGAAGTTCCTCTTTTTCTTGTAAATATACTGCATCTGTTTGTTTTACCACCAAAGAGGAAGTAACCTGCTCTGGTTCAGCTGGTGACTCTGAAACTGCTGTGATAGTGGGTTTGCATATGTGCACGAGGAGCAGTGACATTTTTGGCACCATGAGTCGTGGGTCATTGTTAGAATTCACACATCTATTGCTCTCACAGGATCCGAGTTCAGGTCATAGCTGTGAGTGAGAGATACGCGCACACTTTACTCATATGGAAGCCCATTAATGCCAGAAAGAGAAAAACAATTATGAAAACTATGAGTAATTAAATCAAGATGACTTAAAAATGTCAACATTTTGAATTGGTAAGCTTGAGATGAAATGCCTTAAAAAGGAAACAAGGAAATGAAGCGAACAATAGCTTATTATTATTTTCAACAAGTCCCTTGAGATGATGTATATTATGATTTGGCGCAATACATATAAAATTGAATTGGATTTAATTTGTCTGTATCAAAATTCAATGAAAAACACATAAGAAGTAAAGTTATATTTTTAATCATAAAAATATTTTAATGAGGGGGCCTAATGAAAATGTATAATAATGCACTACATTAGTTGGATAACAGTGAAACACAACAGATCTTTTCCAACTCATGTTGGGATTTGTTTTAAATGAGAAGTTGCAGCTGAACACCCTTCACCTCACCCTCTCCTTCCAAACATGAAAAAGAACCTGTGGTAACTACTAATGTAAAAAACATACTGAGTTAATACATAAAATAAGTTCCCCTTTTATGTAAAAATGATGGCATAACAAGCGCTGTTATTCAAAAGTCTTCACACAAACAGTAAATCTAAATTATGATGACCTAGAAAATCTGAATAATTAAGAGATATTTGGTCAAAAACATATTTTTAATTGAATTTATATTATTTTATTTGGCTGGCAGAATGGGCTTCCATAATTACATTATGTTGCATGGCGGACACTACATTATAAATACAATTATTGTGTTTTTTTGTTTTTCTGAAGACAGCTTTTCAATTTCTCTGCAACATTTTATAACCAGGCCCCGCGTGTTTTAAATTAGCGGGGCTGCATAGTTTGAACCGACAGAACGCTGGTGACAGAGCTGCACGGACAAGGACAGGATTAAATAAATGACAGGGACACAAAAGTGTTGCTCTCATTTTCTCCAGAGAAGATTAAAGAGTAAAAAGCCACATTGATTGTGTTTTTTCATAGCAGGTTTGTCGTCACTGAATAAACAAACCCTTGGGAAGTTGCCTCCGTTTTGTGAGTCAACATCTGGAGTTGTGTAGTTTTAGACAAAACATTTATTGCACACTTTTGTGTCCCAAACCTTCATCTGTGGAGAAACATTCACCCACTGTTTACTGTGGACTTTAAGCAACACAACATTGACCACTTGAACTAAAACAACTTTCCACTTTCCATCCCACAACTTGAGTTTACCCTCTCCTCCATCATCTTGTTCTGTAAAAACCTTCTGAGGCCGAAATACTTTCTGGCGGTTTGTACTTGTCGTCACTGAGATATGTAATTCTCATCTATTTAAATAAACGTTTCTAGAGGAATTTATTTTCCACTCTTCTGTTCCTCTCACCTCATGGACACGAGAGTTCAGCTGCGGTGTGAGTCACTAGTGGCGGTTTGGTGTGCGATCGATGGTTCACGGGCCGGCCTTGAGCGATGAACATGGAGCGTTGAGAGTTTTCGGAGTTTGAGTGACCTCGTCGAGTCCTGTGTCCGGTGACTACATGTGCTGTAACGCCTCCTGGGCCTCTTCCGTGTACACCTCGTCCTTCCCCGCCCATGAGCCAAAGCTGTCGCCGAACTGCGCGTTCCGCTGCGAAGTCTTCTGTTTGTCACGCGAGAAGAAACTAAACCTGCGACAACAGAGTGGAGAGAAGACAGAGGCTTGAAAGGAAGTGTGGGTGACAGAAAGATGTCTGTATCATTTGCAGTGACTATCAGTTATATGTGAAGCAGTGTTAGAGTTATGGCAAACTACCATTATGATGCAGTTCAGACCACAGGTATTTCAACAGTTACACATTTTTCTTTCTTTGTAACACGCACGCCTCTGTCTCGCATATCTCGTAAACCGTTCACCGCATCAACGTCAAACTTGCCATGTCCATTGTTAAGGGCCCAAGGAAGCGCAGTGTCAAATTTGGTGCCACAGCTCAATTACTGCAGTTCACTTTTACAGTTTCTGCAAGAAAGCTGAATGCAGCATTACCACAGGCAACGCACGAGTAAAGATAATAGCATAATTAACACATAGTTGCCACAGTTAGGTGGTTCAAAAGAAACTGGACAGATCTATGAGGTCAAATACATTATTGTAATATTTTTATTTTGTGGATAATCCATTGCCATCATTGACTTCCTCTCAGCTCTCAGCTTGTTGTGTGTTCTCTCTGTCTCGAGTCAGAGAGCAGTTACTGATATTCCACCTCCCTTCATCCTGAAAAGCTCTTTGGCTGCTCTGGCCGTGTGTTTCAGATCATTTCATCATCATCAACCTTTATTATATTGTGATAAATATTGATATTGTTCTTTAATGATTCAAATGAAATGACTACACAGGTTAATCATCTAGAAAACCAACTAACTGAGTTACCCGTGTGCACGTTTTACACTTCACATGCATCAATGTAAACAAAAGATTCTGGTGGTATCCTGGATCATATTTTTACTTTAGAAACGTGCAGAGACAAGAAGGAAAGAGAAGAGACAGGAGGGAAAATCTGTGTCTGTGTTCAGGGAACGTCAGTCGGCACAGAGTCGTCACAAACAGACACTTTCTGTTTATTGGTTATCACTGTAGCTGGACTGTAGATGGAAAACACAGTGCAGTTTACAGTATAACATTAAATGATTGTTTATAAGAAATGTACTACTTAACTTATTTTCTCTCATTTCACACTCACACTTTGAGGCCCAAATTTAAAAATAACTGTGTTTTTACAGTAATTATAATAATGTATACAGCAAATGAATGCAATTATTGTTATTTTCTTCACAGAGCACTTTCGAGTTACAACATGTATTTGTTGCATTAGTTTTTGTTTTGTCAGTTGAATGAGATGAGATGTGCAACAGATTTGAATTTCATTTGAACTCTCATGTCCTGTGTGGTTCTGTCGTTGCTGTCTACAAGTACTTTGATGCCATAAATCTCCAAGATCTTTATTATTATTAAATATTAATAACTGTATTATTCGTGTCAGTTTAAAGCGCGGGTGCAGAGGTGAACAGCGGTTACTGGGGTCAGCGGAGGTAAAGAGAAGTCGGCTACAAATCTATTCTGACTGGCTGATGTTTGTGATCCACAGTCATCCCAGTTGACGGTGATAATAAGACAGCCCCACGATCAGCCAATCAGAATGCGGCAAAGGTGGGAATGAGGGCTCAGACAGCCGGGACATGCAGGGGGAGCGAGGCTGTTAGCAGAGAAAATGCAAAAGACTCTGGAAGCCAACCAAATGTAGAGTCATACAAGCGATACGAGACGTCTGATTGGCTGTAAAGTGGGGTCATCTGGGATCAAACCAGCCGCCACCATCGGCATAATGGCTGTGAAGATCCTGTTACACACACATGTAAAGACACACACAAACAGGAAGAGATACACAGAGAAGGGGAGGGGGGGACGAACAGGGGGAGACCACATCAACCTTTGACCTCTGTGGGGATGTGTGTGTGTGTGTGTGTGTGGACTCAACCAGTGTCATTAGATACAGTTATGAGATACTGTGATTCCATTTTATACAACTTTCTACCACACTTCATAATGTTCCACTTTATTAATGTGGATTTATTGGTTTCTACTTAGCTGGTAATAATTCTTTACTTTTTCTGGAGCAGGAATTTTAAATGCAGGACTTTTACTTATGATGGAGCGTCACTGGAGGAGTGAGAGGAAGAGATGAGAGGAAGAGAGCTTTTAAAATAAGAGCTCAGAGGCTCCTGTCTGAAGAAAGATGACAGGCTAAGTCAGTAGCTTCCTTTAAGTCAAAGCTTAAAACTTACTTTTATCGTACAGCAGTTCCACTGATTTTACCCGATTCTATTTATTACTATTATAATGGGTGGTTATGCTAAGTTTTAGTGTTTTTATTTTTATTTTTACTTGTGTCTTTTATTTGTGGAGCACTTTGTTTTGAAAAAGTGCTATAAAAATTAAAAAAAAATTATTAAAATACATTTTAAGTATCCTGGTAGTAAGTATTTAAGTATGTTTTCTCTGAAGAACTCTGATTTGAGCAGCATGTTGGCCCAGAGGACAGACTGGGGTACTTTAGCGGGAGTGTCACTCAGTTTCACTCGGCTGCTGTGTTATCTCTGGTTTATTTTAGATCAGACAAACACAGGATGTGGGTCTGTGGTTTATGAATGAGCTGTTTCCAGTCGAAATGGCTGAAAGTGGTTTTTCAGCTGAAACACAATTATTCTTGTGGTCACATTGTACATGTGGAGTTGATGTGTGATGACATTATGTTCAGCTGCTGTCACCACTAACCTCAGTATGAAGTAATCCTGCATAGCCCACAGTAATATCTCAGAAGGTAGTATTACTTGTACTGTATAAGTATTCAAATGTTGGCAGCCTGAAATAGAGCCATGTGCTTGGTAGAGATTCGTTTTTTTAAGTCATATAAACGTTTGAGCAGTCACATACAAAGTAATCGGCCTTTGACTAACAAACCTACTTCTGACTCATCTCAATGTTTCTGCAGGTTTCAGAAGATATATTTAAGATTTCTTTAAGCCATTTTAAGACATAATGAATGAAATGTAACAGCTATGTCAAGTGTGAGAGATTTAAAGGAAAATCTGAGTCTCAGAATTATTTTAATTTCCCCATAACTGAAGATAAGGGTAGCAGAGTAGAGCAGAGTAGAGCCGAACCCTCATACACCACATTATCTCTCAAACCACAGTAGCTGTCCAGTCTGTCCTACAGCAGAGCTGAGCGCACTGTGATGGCCAGGTTGTTTGGAGATAAATGGTAAATGGTCTGTATTTATTTAGATTCTTAATGACAACTCAAAGCACCATATTGCCAGTCACCCATTCACACTGAGATTCATACAGTGCATCTATTGGCAGCCCTTTTTTCAATTAGGGGCAATTCGGGCTTAGTAACTAGCCCAAAGACGCCTCGGACATGCACATGGGAAAGACTGAGATTCAAACCGAGGACGAATGCTCTACCCCTCAGCCACAGCCGCCCAGACTCAGTTGTCAGTTCCATGTTGGTCTTGTATGTAGTACTACAACACACGGGCACGTTACAAACTAAGCAGGCCGCCAAAACATTTCTCTTCAGAAAAAAAAATTAAATTGCAATGGCAGTAGCGCAACCTGCATGTATGAGAACTAATACATCATATTTTTAAATATGTTTATTATGTTTATTTCTAACACCCAAATTCAGATGATTGAATTTTAGACTTTTTTAAGACCCTGCGGAAACTCTGCATCTCAAAGTCGACCAAGGGAGTGTGTTTTAAGCAGGCGAGTGTTTTCACAGGCATGTGCAGCTGAGTGAGTGAGTGAGTCTGAAAACAGCCGTGTGTGTGTGTTTCTGTGTGTGTGTATTTGCAGGCAAGCCAGCACTACATACAGGCGTTTGATTCCGGACTCTGGCTGGGCAGAAGATCTGGAGCGAGTCCTCAGTTCAGGCGAGGGAGACGGAGAAGGAGTAACAGTCTCATCTACCGTCTCATCACTGCGAAGACAGAGCGTCACAACCATCATCGACACGTAAAGACTGGTTTGGTTCATGAACACGCTAACACATATAATAAAACCCAGATCGCAGAATTCTTATAGTGAAGATCAATAAAGTCATGGGCTGAAAGAACTCAAATTTAAAATGCTCTAAACTTAGGAGTCAAAACTTGTAGTGGCTTACTGCTGCTGACATCTCCCTGAATGGTAGAGCTGGGTGACTAATTGATCAATATTGATAATAATTATCAATGTACAATGCATTTAACATGTACAAGGGTAATCAATTTTTGTTTTGATAAGTAGGTTTGTTGGTACAAGGTTTGGAAGCATAAAAAATAAATCAACAACTTTTTATTCTCTTTATATTTACAGTAGTAATTAATTGGCTGCAAATGAAAATAAAATAAAAACGCTGCTGTTGGTGTACAAGGTACATCCAGGATATTAAGAGAATTTAAAACCGATACAAATCAATGCCAGCTTTCTATGTGTTGTTTGTACTGAAAAAAGGAAATTCATAATGTTTATGTTCACAATTCTGTTCTCTACAGAACTTTAATATTTAATGATAAATATATTTATGTTTGCAAGAAGGAAGGAGTAAAAGTGAAAGATTTTTATTTTGCAAAAATAATAAATACAGGCCCAAAGCTTCACTTCATAATTCCCCCTGCTCTGAAACCATAAAGAATTCTCTTTCCTATTTTGTTAACACTTAAAATACACATGTCCTTGAGTACCTTCTGTAATAAGCCAGCTCCTCCTGCAGCAGAAAAACTTTGGCCTTGAGCTCATTCCTCTCGTGCAGGACGTCCCTCAGCTCCTGCAGCGTGAACCGGGGCCGGTTCGGGTCTTGAGGTTCAGGGCCTCCCAGCTCCTCCTCGCACAGCGCCTCCTGCCAAGAGACAAATGCATCACACGGAGGAAACAAAACCTGTCAAAGGGAAGGAAGGAAGGAGGGCAGGAAGGAAGTGAGGATACCTTGGTAAAATATTGGAACACAGCAGGCATGTCCTCATCGCACATCGCCTCCTGGTGGCAAACGTTGAACTCTAAGTCAGACCTCGAGCCTTGTTCCAATAATGTTTAGTTCGAACTTCCCTCCAGCCTCCACTGTTTCTTTTTAACTCAGCACAACCAAGACATTCACTGTTAAACAACCACCTGAAACCTTGTCACACCACATGCAGCTCACTGAAGTCACTCATGCACTGAGCGCAAAAACACTATTATTCTAATCAATCTGTATTCTCCACACAAAGTCCAACTGAAACCACGTTCAGATTCTCTACTGTTAAACATATCATTGCTTTTTTTATTTGCTGTCAACAGGTTTTTACTTCAAAAGAAGACAGAGGGTGACAAGAGGAAGAGGAAACACCAGAAAAGTTCCTTTTTCTTTTCGCAGCAGCTGCAGGGTTAAGAGTGTCACTGTCTGTCTGTGTTGGATTAACAGGCTCAGAGCTCTGGCGAGGTAAAGGATTTAAAAACTGCTTGGTGGTGTGTTAGTCACACACCAAAGCCGCAGCTTCTCTGTTTGTACCATTCATACCTGCAACAGCCAAAAACGTATCTCCTGACCAAATAGCACAATATGTGTCTGTTCGGTTGCAACATGACACAGTTGCAATGCTGCTGGAAGAGGCTGGTGAACTGTAAAAATACAGATGTCTGAGAGAGGAAGGCAGGAGTGAAACTAAACTCTTTAGATTCAGATAGAAGTAACAAAGATACTGGGTGTGTGATGAAACAGTTCTCTCTACAAAGCAGCACAGCTACTGTATGTCCTGCTGGGAGGCTGCAATGGTAAAACCCATCAACTTGCACTGTGCAGTGTGTGTGTGGTCGGCGGTGGAACTGAAGTGTAAAGACCACACCAGCACATTTGCAAGTGAGTTAACATGTCGTTATATTCTGTTTATTTGTTAAAAAATCTTTATTTTTTTATTTAGCCTCTTCTAATTAACGATTGCTCAACATCGTCATTATTTTAATTGCATTTATCGTTTAATCTCATAAAGCTCTTTGTAACTTTGTTTTGAAAGTGCTACATCAGTAAAGTTTAGTGTCATTATTATTATAATGCTCGATCCTGAAAAGGGGCATCAGCAGTGCACTTCCCCCGGGTGAATATTTTAGGAAGTTTTTTTGGTGTGTAATGAAAGGAGGCAAGATGTGTAGTGTGTTGTGTAGCAGCTGCCGTCCACTTGACCAACGCTGAAGTTACTGCTGTAACAAAATATATTTGATTGGCTGCATGAATACAAGTTCCGGTTCTCTGGGACTGTGAGGCGTTCATGCAAAGACTAAAGGCAGCCTGTGACACCAAACACAATCTGGAGCAAATTATGCAGCAGATGAGACACACTTCTTCATTTCAGTTGGACTTTATACTATTCATACTGTCAGTGTTACATGAGGGGGAACTTCATGTGCTGCCACAGCCTGAGCTCTCAGAGTGATCTATATTTAGAAGGGTTATCGGTACAGAGAGTCTCACTCGGTTGGCTGAGAAACCAAAAATCCCACGGACATTCTCCGTTAGCTCGCACAAACAAAACACCCATGCACTTCTCATGGGTTGCACAAATGTTAGTCCACTACCTTTTAAAAAAAAATATCATCTATAAGTTTGCTTTTCTGCAGAGAGCAGTGCAGGCCTGGAGTTAGAGTCAGGACGATCAGACAAGCTCTGGTTTGCAAACCGGCACTTCTGCATTACCCAAAGCAACACTGCCTCGTCCTCCGCCTCCTCATCCCCGTCCTCGTGTCCCTCTGGGCTGAGGGAACCGGGCAGGGACAGCGGGGCAGGGTCAACCCCACCACACATTAGCTCAGAGAGGTCAGGTCTCTGTGACCAGCCCCCAGCCGCCCCAACTGCAGCAGCTTTGCCACGCTGGTGGAGTAAAAGACAGTTTATTAACTGCTTTCTGGGCTGTTTGGGAAGAGTGTGTGTCTTTAATGTGACGTTATGGAAAAAGATGTTGAGATGCATTGGTGTTTCATGCACCAATTAACTTTAAGAAGGAAATTAAATGTATTGGTTTTCACGTTGGTTTGAAAATGGGAACATAGAGCTTCTTGGCATTTCTGTTTTCATTTAATATGACTGGGCACTGAAGCTGAATTCATAATTACATTTGAAGTCCTTATTGCTTAAAGGAATAGTTCTACAAAGACACCAACTGAACTACTGGTTCCGGACTTATAGATAAAAATGACATAGTATAAATGTAAAATAAAATGAATTTATTAATGGTAGGTGCATTTCTAGGATACGTGCATAGGAACAGCATAGTTGCACACCCTACAGAAGGACACTCTGGCCTTATATCTCAGACTACTTTTTAGTGATTTTGTGAGCTGTGTTACCTCTGCAGGGGAAGGGGGCTGAGGTGCCGGTTCCTCAGGATTCTGGGCAGGAAGCTCTCCTTGAAGTCGCTCCCTTAAGCGTGTGATTTCCTGCCGTAGGGCGCCGACTTCCTGGCCCCGGGCCTGAGCGCTGGCCTCCAGCTCCACCTTCTGTTCGATGAGCGCTTTCCCCTGAGCTTCCACCACGGAGATTTTATGACGCAGGTCGTGGTTGATCTTCATGAGGCGAGACTGCTGCTGCTGGAGCTGCGGAAACACAGGCGGACAGAAACAATGAGGACCTAATTAGAGATATTTGGACATGCAGCAAAGGGCCAGGGCGGACTCAAACCTGCAGAGCTCCCCACTGACATCAGGACAGCAGAAAATACGCATCTTCTGCTGAAAGGCTAAAGACACATCTCTTCCGACTACACCTTGGTTATGAAGATGATGTCTAATTACCATTGGCAACTGTGTGTTTACATAAAAAACGTATATATGGCACATGTAACACTTGTAGTTTGACTTTTTGAAAACTAATTGTACTTCCATGATTCTTGCTGTTCTGGGCTGGTACCCCCCCCCCATGGTTGAATGCACTTATTGTAAGTAGCATTGGATAAAAGCATCAGCTAAATGATATGTAATGTAATGTAAAAAAAGCATTGACACAAAAATGGCTGCAACTGAGGGTGAGTGTGATGCGGCTGAACAGTTGGTCATAAAGCAGAAATAACTACTCTTTCATCTGCTAACCGCCCCTGGCAACCACGAGCACAGCTTCTGTTTTCATCTGAACGTGCCGTCACGTGGCCTTTCCTGACTAAGAAATACCAAAGGCAGTATTAATCATACTGCACTTCCTGATAACGTGTTCAGCTTCATTTACTGTAAGTGTACCTATGAGTCATGACAGTGCAGCATCCTCGCGCCGTTACATCTATTGTGCCCAAAACAAAAAGCTTCCGATTTGTAATTTTGAGCTGGCGAAACGGTGAAGTGAACTGATTACATTGGAACAAATGGCAGCAAAAAAATGTGATAAAAATGAAATCAAAAATTTAAATGAAAAGAATCCATATCATGTCTTTTTTATCTTTATATCTGGTTGATAACAATCTCTTAAAACTGGGAAACACAGTAAAAGAAGCTAATTTAGTCTGTTTATGTGGTGTAGCACAGATAGCACTAAGGCTAACCACCACAGAAATATGCTCAAGATGGAAAGAACAAGTATTTCCCCTCTTCTTTCCATTCTGCTGACACAGTGTGAATGCACCATTACCAGTAACACCCACGTTTTTCCTGCTATGACACGTGAAAATGTCGACATTCTACTAGTTCACTTGCAAAATGTAGTGGTTGTTGTTTGTTTGCCGTTCACTGGGCCGAGCCCTTTGTCACACTTTGTTGTGATTGCGTTGTTTTCTACCGATCTAATGCTGCTAATAACAGCTTGTGTGTTGTTCTGTCGAAACAGCCCATGGTGTGTTGTTGCTCTCCTCTGACTCACTGCACGGTTGGACCTCATCCAGACCTCTGCTGCTTTACATGCAGCTAATATTGATTAATCAGCTCATTATCTGAAATCAAACAGTGTGCAGGCAAAGTTTCCTCCTGCTGCTTTAAGTAAAAAGAAAGAGGAGCCCGTCCCCTTCATCTTACTGCTTCTATGTCCTCGTTTTTCAGCGTGAGCTCGCGGTCCTTTGCTCGAATCTCGTCTCTCTGCTTGTCCACCACTTCTTTAAGCTTCTTCATCACCTGCCTCTCTCTCTCCGTCATACCTGGAAAGCACAGACAGGAGATGACAGTGAGGGAGTGTGTGCACACAAAAGGTTTTTTTTATCAGTTAATCAGAAAAAGATTTTATTATTTTCAAATTGTATTAATAGTTAGAGGAACTGAAAGGACTTGTATAGAGGAAACTCTGGTGTGTGTGTGTGTGTGTGTGTGTGTGTGTGTGTGTGAGAGAGAGAGAGTCTAGCAGGTGTGCTTGTACACTGAGGCTGTTCTTTCCTCATCGTGTCAGGGTGACTGTGGCCTCTGTGTGAAACCACGAAAGAGACTGGCTCGCAGTCAGACACAGAGAAGGCTCCTTTGTGTGTGCGTATTCACGTTTGTGTATGTGTGTGTGTGTGTGTGTGTTTCTGTGTATGCGCATGCGTGTGTTTGTGATGGGAATGTGAGACAGGGTCTCTAGTCAGATTTTCATCAAAATGTAACACACATGGTGTGTGCTGGACGTATAGCCCAATATATCACACACACACACACACACACACTGATTCCTTACTTTGTATATTTTACAATTAAAAATTAATGTTAATTGAAAGTTTTAGCAAAACCAGCACACAAACAACATTTAACAAACAACTCCCTCCATTTTCTTAAATGTATGATAATCTAACTTTTCCAACTGGATGTTTTCTTCCATTATATTTTCACATTTGGAGAAGTCTGTCAATTTAATTTTTTTTTAGGGAAGATGCTAATTTTAGTTCCTGCAGAAAGATATGTTACGATATAAATTTGTGTTACAAATACAGATTTACATTTTTTTCTTTTTCCTTTCACCATAGAATAATTTACTTCTCCTTTTACCATTAAAGTTGCATAAGCTTTTCTTTCCACGTGTGTGTGTGTGTTCCGAGCACGCGTCCTCACCCTCATGTCTCTGCAGGTCCTCCTCACTCATGGGGTCTTTGATGGACATGTTGGTGAGCAGGGTTTTGTTCTCCTCCTGCAACTGAGCGATCTGGGTGAGCAGATCCTGAGCCTCTCCTCTCCACACATCCTCCACCAGCTCCAGCTCCTGTACACACACACAGTGAAGCACATTATTATACATTATTGACCCATACTATTACATGAGGACATTTTAACAAGCGAATCCTCATTACAGCCTTCAGGATGTCACCGAGCTCTAACTGCCAGTAATTCTAATTCTTTATTCCTTGTGTTCAGATCTTCATGACTCATGTTTATACACTTTATGTGGTTTTAGCCGTATTAATACTGCAACATGTTACTATAGCAACATGGATCTTTTGACAACTTTGTCTGTCAGGCCACTACTATGAACCAAGCTGAAACGTCTCAATAACTATATGTTAGATTGCAATGAAACTTTGGAACATTCCCCAGAGGATGAACCATACCAACTTTGTTGATCTTGTGACTTTTCCTCAAGTTCCACAATTAGGTTTATTTTTTTATAAAATACCTCAACAACTGGTGGATTTTCAATTAAATTTGATATAGAGAACTTGATCCTCTCCCTTTTGATAGAGCGCCATCATCTGGTCAAAAACACCTGCAAGAACTAATGACGTTCAGCCTCAGCTGTACAGTCGCAGTGGTCTGAAGTTATTTCTACAAAATAAGAACCATTCAAAGTTTGCTGAATTTGCTACAATAGGTTTTCTGTTTGCAGTGTATCTATGGATGTACAGACGACTGTCAGTCGTTTCATTTGACACTGAGGAAAACTTACAAAAAAGAAAATGTTTCATTTCATTTCTGTTGTTATAATGACTCATTCCCTCAAATGTGAAAATGTGAGATTTGAGTATTTACTTAGGAATTACATATTTGAATCACAAAAATGAAAATGTACTGATAATTCATGTAGAAAATAATACGCAGATTAATGGTGAATGAAAAACATTAGCTGCAGCATTCTCTATCTGATGCTGCCTCCTCACATTAGAGCTCTGAATCTTGAATCCATAAATGCATAAATTAAAATGATGTGACATTTTCCATGAGAAAACCGTGCAGACTGATAATATTCCCTCAGACAGCCGTCACTGACGGAAACCTCCACTACATCCCTGTCATGAGACTCAGTTAATGAGTGAACTGGCGACTGTGTTCACCGTGGCTCAGTCACCGTCACGAGAATGGACTTTTTCCACAGCAGTGAGCTGACTGGCAGATATAAAATCCACCACACTGAAGCACTGTGCTTAGATACAACTCTGAGATAGTGCACGTGAAAATGCACATTTTCTGCTACGTTATCGTTCTGCCCCACCACATGTGAGGAGGAGAAACTGTAGTAAATACTGAAGTTATCTGACAACATACGGTCGAGATTTTACAGAGATAACACAAATAATACTATAGTTTTATTTAAAAAACATTTCAACTCAGGACTTTGACGTGCAATGGAGTATTTGTACTAGTGGTACTGGTTATTTTACTTGTAATGGACTATTTCTAAATGAAGTACTGACTATTTCTGCGATTTTTATGATGGTTCTTGTTTATTTACTTGTAATTGAGTATTTGAGTAATTTATAGGGTGTTATATTACTAATGGAATCTGATACAGCCTGTTATTGGTATTTATATTAGTAATGGGGTATTTTACAGTGATGTATTGGTATTTTTACTAGCAATTGAGAGTTTTACAGTGTGTTATTGTTATCCTTAGTAGTAATTGAGTATTTTATCCATAGTTATTGGTATCTTTATTAGTAATAGAGCATGACACAGTGTGTTATTGATATTTTAACTAATAAGTGTTATGTTATATATGTTGTTATTGATGTAAATCTTTGTACAGTATTTTACAGTGTGTTATTAGTACTTTTACATCAATAACAACCTGTACACTCCCTCCAGTTGTGGTTAAATCACAGTGACAGAGGAAAAACTTTGTGTGTGGTTTGATTTCCTTGCTTTCTAACACACTCATCTGAAACCAATTCAGCAGCTTCGATCGGTGACGATCGGCGCCCTGCTCGCACCTTCTTGTGCCTCCTCTCCTTCTCCTGCCGGTCCAGCCTCTCCAGCCGCAGCCTGTCCAGCTCCAGCCGCAGCTCCTCGGTCTCCGGGCTCATGCTGCTCCGGCTCACCATCACCTCCAGGATCTCCAGCACACGCACCACTTTGGGCATGAGCCTGGACAGAGCCTCGCAGCCGTACTGGTCTATGATGCGCTCGAACTCTTGGCCCACCACGGCGGCGATGTCGTACACGTCCATGACCGTGAGGTCAGCCACATTCTTCTCCAGGGCCGACCCGGACTCCTCCATGACGGGACACTTCGGCCCTCCCCGGCTTCCTCTCCTCTTGTGTGGCCGCAAACTTCCTCCCTCTGGAAGAACAAGCCGCTAACTTCCTCTGGGTCCTTCTCCTACACAAACACACACACCGTGAACAACCGCTACACGCTTCCACTACCGCCCGGCCGGTGCTGGCGCCTGGGTCCGGGCTCCAGTGTCATTTCTTGGGGTTAAATATCGTCTGTGTCCCATCGCTGTCCTCACTGCGCGGCCCCAACTCCTCCAAAATAATACCCCTTACTTCCGCCTGCACCTTTCACAATAAAAGAGCAGCATTAAAGGTCCAGTGTGTAGGATTAAGGTGAAAGGGATTTAACGGCAGAATCTGTATCTAAAATAATCCTAGTGATGTTTTTGCTTCTAAACTGTTCAAACAGTTGTTTTCTTTACCCTAGAATGGAGACTTTATATTTAAATACTTTATATTTACATCTGGAGCGGGTCCTCTCTACGGAGGTAGAGAGTATCCCAGACTGGACGAACTAAACACTGAGTCAAAGATGTTCAAAGCCAGGGATGTGCAGAGGATATCAGAGACGCAGGGGCCCGAATTCATAAAAAGGCACCTTTTGCATATAATAAATAAGCATACGTCTGAAAAGTACGGTGGCCGAGAGAGCAAGGCTCACTGCGAAATCAAGAAAAACAACTTCATCAGTTTGACCACACGTGCTGCAAAAAGTCACAATGCATGCAAACTCAGTTTCTGCATGTGAGTTTCTTGTTTGTGATACTTTATACATCTTCTCCACTAAGCTTTTCAACTTAAATTGGTTAAAATAGTGTCTCCCAGTGATTCATCTCATCAAGGTTGCATTAGTGGTCAGGATAAGATTAGCATCCTTATCTGTCCATTTGGGAAGCTGGACTCCGCTTTTATCCTGAAGGTGGAGACGTGTGATCCCGGTGTGTATCCTGTCCTTACTTCTCGCAGCTTGACACATGCTCTCGGAGCCTTCGGGAGCCAGTGGTCACTTCCATGGTGGTGAGGCTGCAGTTTGTTGTGCGCATGACAGAAATAAATAACAGACGGATGAGGTCGCTGTGAGAATTTGTTCCATCAACGTGAGAGAGAGATTGTTCACACTGATGATATATTTCATTATTGTACTATGTAACATTATGTGACATATGATTTAGGAGCAGTTTATGTGGTTATACTGTTTGTCACTGAAGAAATGAGAAGGAAAAAAATCCAATACATCTGCACAAACCCCCCACAAAACTATCTTAGTGAAAAGGTCATTCAGGTTCAAAATGTATTTTAAAATGTGTTTGTGATTTGTGTGAAGAGAAAGAAGATACAGAGACAGGTTCTCCGAGGGAATTTTGAATAATTTCCATTTCTTATGTTTATTTATTGAAGTGATCCTTGTTTTTAAGTACCTTTGAGCAACACGCTTTAATTTAAATCCATGTAAAGTGAAACCCTGACTCATCTGTCTCCATCACAGATGTGTAGATAAGTCTACAGCATGTCTGTCTTTATCTCGGTCTTGTTGCTCACGTGTACTTGAACCACACACTCGGGAATGCACTTCATCTTGTTTTGTGGAATGTTTATCACAGGGATATCATGGGGTAGTGACACACCACACTGCAAAAGGAAACAAATGATTTATCTTCCTAAAAAAATAAAACCAGCTGCTAACCTCATGCTTATACTGATTCAATGATCTTGGGATTTTTGTTGTTGTATGATCTTTCAGACAGGTGCAAAAGAAAATGGAGACATTTTATTGTGCAGGAATTCCTCTTTTACTTTTATGTGCAACATCAATTAGTAAGAGAATAGAGGTGTCACTATGATCACAAACATGATGCAGCATCATGTCAGTTTCATTTGCACATTTACTGTAACTTGTGTAAAGCACAAAGTCAAAGCCAGAGAGAGAATGAAGTTAACAAACAAAGTCATTGTCCTGCTTCCTCAGGAATGCCCCGTTCCAGTTTCACCTCGTTTGAACTGTAATCGGAAAAGAAACAGACTCATGTAAACACAGCGAATCCTCTACTCACATTATCCACTGATTATCACATATGAGCCTCAGGAGTTTGAGCGTCAGCACTTACCGCGTTCTTAAGCAGGTTCCCAGATTTGCTGAAGATATTTTGCTTCTTGGAGGACGGTTTGGGGGCCTCAGTGTTGTTCTGTGGGGTCGCCTGAGGCTGAGCGGGTGGAGGAAGTGACGACGAGGACTGTGACGGGCTTGGTGCGAAAGGTTGAGTTGGGATGTAAGGCTGGGAGGAAGTGAAGGTTTGAGACGGTGTGAAGGTTTGAGACGGTGTGTATGTTTGAGACGGTGTGAAGGTTTGAGACGGTGTGTATGTTTGAGGCGGTGTGAAGGTTTGAGATGGTGTGTATGTTTG